CAGGAATTATTTGGATTTTAGCTTACTGCTCCTAACACCACAGTACATTTTTGTCACAATACTTACATTTAGTTAAATCAGTCCTGTATATGAAATTCAGATTATAATAAGGGATTATCCTACATATATAATTAATAGAAGCCAGGGAGACCTTTGCACTGTGAAAAGCATTTCAATGTGGAGTTGTAATTAAAATGGTGTTACATACCTGCTGCTTACGGCTATCGTCATGCTCAAGACATGACAGCTAGCACTTTATTTCAGCAATATTCACTGCTGTCTGAATCAGTCTAAACAAAGTACACACTGAAATTCCTTTTCCTATATTTGTCATTGGAAACTATCTTGCAAAAAACCTATTTGCTGTGCATGATTTCTCTTGCTGAGAGAAATATCAAAATATTAGAGCAAGCGATGGGTACTTTGGGTTTAGTTTGTTTTCATGGGAATTCCAGAAGACTACTTCTGCAGATGAAGCAAAGGTTTAATAGCTACCAGGAACATACCTCCCCTTCTACTGTTGGCTTTCATCTTCCAGCTAAGTAATGACCAGAGTGATAAACCTCAGAAAAACCTATGAGATACAATCTATAGAGTGGTTTTCAGAAAACCATGGTGCAGCAAGTTAACAGTTTAACCCGTTTCCCCAAAGGATTACTTCAACACTGTATTTTAAAAACTGAGGGCTGTTCTCCCCAGTGCAGTGAGCACCACTGCTTTGTCCAGTCATATTTTGGCAGCTATTCAGACAGGACTTCCTTTTCTAAATTGTGTTTACTCACCTTTAAGTTCGTGATTGTCGTTTTATTTTTTTCCATTGAAATAATAAACTTTGCATTAAGGTCTTTCTCCCTGAAAGAAAAACGAGACTTGAGTATGTTAAATAAAACATATCACAATAATCCACAGTCATATTTCCACTCACAGGTTGCTTGCCACAGTCAATTATCAAGTGAATTCATTTTCATTTCATTTTTTAATTGTTGTGACCAATGTTTACTTATTGCTATGGGATATATTTGAAGTACTTGGGCTTGCCTCCAAATCCCTTCATCTAGAAACAGAGCAGCAGCTTGGGGAAACCTACTTCAGAAGTTTGACTCTGCAAGTCAGTCAAATGGTTTATTCTTAATTTGAAGTACTCTGATCCAAAGCCCAGTGAAGTCAATTATGTGGCTCTAAGGAACTGCGAAACAGAACATTACAAGATAAGCCCCAGCCTCTTACCACCATCCTAGTAGCAGCAGTCCCCATTTACCCATATGGCCTAGGTAACCAGGGACTAAATATTTAAACCACAAAACCCCAGTATTTTAAAACTCTTTTAGAAATGAGGTACCCAACATATTTTTTGAGCTGTGATGCATCACGGCGGTGCAGGAGAGAGGCTCTGCTACTAAGGGAGTGTTACACAGGTTTATTGCTTCCCAGAGCACAATGATTCCAGGAAGAAAAAAAGCCCAGTTCTGCAGCAGCGTTTTCATGCACCCACATCTATTTCACATCAGTTGTGTCTGACTGTTTTCAAAACTATTATAAAAAATCGTTAGCTTAGCGTCTAAAACCAGCATGTACCAACGTGCTTGCTAGAGATGAGATTTCATTATAGTTAGTCATAAGAGTAATATAGGCTGCTCTTGAATGACAACCTCGAGCATAACATCTCCTGTGTTATTAAACACACGCACAGGAAAAAAAGAGCCAGAAGACGACTGCTAAATACACCACACAAAACCTCGCTCCCCAAATGCTAACACACACGCCTGTTCCAAAACCATCTGCTACGTCACCTGACAAACTGGTGTGCCCGACTGGTGCAAAGGAAAGCAGAGGGCTTTAAAGCAATAAAGTGCTGCTTTACCATATTGCACGGTATCTCAGCGATAACTGCATATCCGCTTGCAACAACCAAAAATGAAAAAGAGAAACTTCTTCCTAGTAACAGGAGACCCGAGTTCAGGATTTTAGCGTGACATTTTCTTCCTTGTGGTGCACTGGATCACCCAACTCCCTGTTCATCAGCTGACTGTGCAGCTACCCTCTATTCACGTTCAGTTTTTCAGTAGAAATTCTAAAGAAAAGCAAAACCCATTTTAAAATCTACATTAATGAATAAAGATTAGGCAAATAAAAGTGCTTATTTAAATATCAACACATTAAGTTATTTTCTAAGCTAATAAAATATATAATTGTAATAATTACAGCATTAATTATACAACTGAATTTAGATCTACCATTGAAAAACGTTAGAAGCATGCCTTGAGGTGCCTCGCAGTTACTTCCATGTCATCCTTAGTAGCTTCTACTAGGTCTACACTTAAGAGACTGAAATACTAAAATACGGCTATGAGTAATAAACAGGGAAACGGAGAAGTTTCCAACAGCACTTTTTTAGTTGGAAATAGATTTTGACATGGCAGTAACGCAGCTTGTGCACGGCTATGACTCGCCCTGCTTCCTGAACAGTCTCTACCTGTCTGTAACTATTTGCTCAGTGAAGCGTAATGAAAAATGTGGCCCAATTAAATGGTCTACCTTACTATGAAAATTTGTTTCACATATAATTTGTAACCTGCTTCCTCTAGGAAGTTTGGAAGGATTCTAGGCAGGAAGAAGTTTAGGCCAGAATTACCGCTTTTTTATCTGGATTTCTTCATGCTTGAGGTGTACAAGGGGAAACAATAAAATATGTTGGTGCTTTCTTTCCCAGACCTAGCCAGCTCTCCATATTACAAAACCTAAAGCTACTCAATAACGGAAAATTGATACAAAATGTTTAAAGTCTAACACCCATATATGAACTACACAGAATTCTGAGAAGCCTACAGTCATTAATTTTTGTGATTACACTGATAATAATATTACTAAACACTATTCAAGAAAGAGGATTTCAAAGTAAAAAAAAAAAAGGCCTTGTAAAGCACTAGCCAATAAAAAAAATTCATAAATAGAGTTTTTCATTTTTGTAGGGGAAGGGATAGGGAGAGGACAACCTGAAAGAGGAATACTATGATCAGAATCAATAAGCCAACCTGAGAGAAGTGAAAAGAATTAACAGGAATCAAATACTAAAGCTTCCCATTAATATGAGCAGCTGAGTATAATTTATGGTACATATAAAGAGTTTGAGAGGATCCCGTAAAAAAACAACTGCTCGCATACTGCCAG